TTTCATAGTCGTTAATGTACCATTTTGTGGCATTTTGGATATAAACGTTGCTATATGTATAAATTTATGTGATGTTGCACTTGGGATGATGGTTGCTCGGGGGTGAGTTCACTGTGATGGTTGGGCGTTGGTTACGAAAATTAGGACATTCACATGAAACAATTAGGGATTTGGAACTCGGTGGGTTAAAGGATTGGAGAATCACAACATTTATAATAAAAACGCCACTAGGGTACATGAGTATTGTGGCGTTTATTACAAAAAAGGCTACTAAATTACATTATTACAAAAGCACCACTAAATTACAGGACTATTACGGTGTTTGAACAAAAACGTCATTAAAGTACAAATCAAGTACAAATCTATAGCGACGTTTGTATAAAAATGCCCCTAAAGTAAAAGTCTATAGCGGTGTTTGTATACAAACGCCACAAAAGTCTAAGCCTTTAGTGGCGTTTGTATACAAACGCCGCTAAAGTATGAGTCTTTTACGGCATTTGATCAAAAAATGCTGCTAAAAAATGCCGCGATACACCAAATGTCACTTTTATTTTAAGTCTATCATATTTTGGTCATCCGATTTGAAAAAAAAATATATTTTACTCATTGTGGCATTTGTATAAAAATGCCACTAAAATACTACCCTACTGCGGCATTTTTGGAAAAAAAACACCACTATAGATGAACCCTATTGCTACATTTGTGTAAAAACACCACTATATACGAACCCTATTGCGGCGTTTGTATAACAACGACGCTAAAATACTACTCTATTGCGGCTTTTGTTGAAAAAACACCACTATAGATGAGTTATATTGCGGTGTTTTTATAAAATCGCCGCTAAATCTACCTTTTTGTGGCATTTGGAAGGTAAACGCCGCTATACATTTAAAGTTAGTGGCGTTTACTCTCAAAACACCGCTAAAAATGCCGCTGTAGAACAGTTTTGATGTAGTTTGTCTTCAATGGCACGGATGATATTCTTGCTGGTAATGCTTTGGTTTCGGCTATTCATGAAATCCATGATCTAAATTGGATGGTGCGAGTTTCTCATATTCGAAAGGAACAGAATAGTATTGCGGATAGGTTGGCAGCTATGGGGCGTGCTGCTGCTGCAGATTCTGTTTAGCTGTCCGATCCACCCGTGGAGCTCGTGCAGCTGCTGCAAAAGGAGGCCTTGGAGTTGAGCTAGTGTTCTTGTCTGATATGATCTAAAAAAAATTAAACACTTTTATTAGAAAAGTTTTCTGTTGTCTCTCGTCAACTTGAATCTCTTGTTATTTATTGAACATATTTGGAGTAGAATCAATCTTATTTTTAAGTAATGATAAAAACTTAGATTTTCCTTCGATTTTCTACACCAAATATCAATGAGCACCAAATGATATAGAAAATTCAACAAGAATTATGAGTTTTATTGTTACTCTAATACAAGATTAACTTCTTTGAAAATATTTTAGAAAATAGTAGAAGACTAAGACTAACAACAGAGAACTGAAGTCTTTTCCAATCAAAAGTATTCACATTTTTTGTACTCTACAATTTTTTTTAAAATTATGTCTCTTATATTTGTCATTTTGTAACTTCTGGAATTTTTAATTTTAAATTACAAAAATAATAATATGTTATGAGTTGATTCAACTTTTTTTAATTCATAAACTGATTGTTCTTGTTACAAATTTAATTTTTTTATTTACTTTTTATAAATATTTGATCTTCATCTAGAAATTTAATTCTTGTCATAAGTTTCATAAAAATAAGTGCTTAAATTATATCGTTTTTCTTATTTAGGTGTCTAAACTTTTTTTATCAATTCAAGTATTTAATATTACGAATGTTACTATTTTAAGTATCTCAATCGTAACAGATGTTAAAAGAATTCGTTAAATAACACGTGTCACATTAATATTTAAAAAGTTATATTTAATAAGCTTAAAATATTCTTATATTTAAAATGAAGATCCTTCCCCTCTCCCTTCTCCCTTTTCCCTTTTCCCTTTTCCCCCAGTCTACTGTCTAGGAAGTTTCTCCCTAGAACGCCCCTCACATCCTCTCCCTCCACATCCCTCCCCAGGTTAAATTCCCCTCCCAGCGGAATGCCCCTTCTAATTAAAAATAAATTTAGAGTTAAAATTTTAAGAGTTTCGAGATTTAACGATTTAGGACGACGATAAGGACGATGTTTAATTAGTTTGAAACTAAAAATTTTAAAGTTTGTAGGATTTTTTAAAATTTAAGAAAATTTAGGCTTTTTATAAAATATATATAATTTTAATTTTTTTAAATATAATTTTCAAAATTATATAAATATGATACGTGCTACTTAATGATTTTTTAACGGTTCTTACAATCGACGCACTTAAAATAGTAATATTTGTAACGTTAAGCACCTGATTAACCAAAAAATACATCTAAATAAGAAAATATATATTGTTTAGGTACTTATTTTTATATATACATAAAGCAAAGATAAAAAATAAAAATAAAAATCGAATAAAATTGTGGCGTGCTCATTGATATTTAGTGTAGTAAATCGTAGAAAAAAATTAGATTTTATTGTTACTTTAATATAATGTTGATTTCACTGGAAATATATTTAAGGAATAATAGTAGATTTAGAGAAAAACAATGGAAGACTTTTTTTATGAAAATTTTTTATTTTATATATTTTTTAATATTTTGCAGTATTTTATTTTTAATAAATTTTTAAATATTTATTATCTTTAACATTTTAATAATTTATTAAATTAAATAATTTTTGGATAAAGTTCAACTACATCGTTAGAGTTTCAATTAAAATTAATTATACTATCAATTTTGGTTAAAAATTCAATTAAATCCATATGTTATATTATCATTCACATGTGGATTGTCATATCAATTTTATGAACCATCATGTTAATATTATACCAGCAAACTATATTGATACAACTAAATGAATTTAAAGGAAAAATGTTAGTGACGAAATTTGGTGATATAGTTTGGGGGTCAACTTAAAACATTAAAAAATTTAAGAGATTTAAGTTAAACTTTTCAAAAATTTTGAAGGGTATATTATACATTTTTTCAAAAAAAATAGAGTTTAACTAAATTTTTTGAAATTTTGAGAGGTTTAACGAGAATTTTTAAAACTCAGAATTTCAAAAATTATGGAAGGGGTTTAATTAAAAAGTTTAATATACATTTCTAAAAATTTTGAGGTGGCTAAATTAATTTTTTAAAATTTTAGGAGTCTAAATTATATTTTTTTAAATTTTATTGATCCATGCCCCTACTAGTCCAACTTGTACTGTGCCACTGAAAACTGATGCAATAAAAAAGTATAGACAAAATTCTTATTTAAATTTAGGCTTAATACTAAAACAAGTGTCCAAATTATACTTAAATTTTCAAATAGGTGTGTAAACTATTTTTTTACTCATCCATGTGTCTAACATTACAAACGTTATCCATTTAGGTGTCCGGGCCGTCAACAGCGTTAATTTCTCCCTTTAAGTGAAATGTGTCACAATCCGACGATTTTAAAATTTATTTTTTAAAATATTATTATATTTATAAAAAAACCTAATTTCTCTTAAATTGTAATAAGAGCCCCCAAATACCTAAAATCTCCATATCCGATCCTTAACCCCCCCCCCCCGCCGTCCTTTCCGACTAACCGCCGATGCAGTCTCTTCCATCCTTCTAGTCATACGCCGTCGTGGTTGTCGTGGATTGACTGTCAAGATCGTGTGGGATCATGATTTTCATCCTAGAGTTCGCGTGGTACAAAACGTTGACTTACCGTCAATCGATCACGATTTTCATGGGGGTTTTGGTCGTCGGGTGGAGGTTCGTCGACGACAAAAGGTGACGACCGACATGGGTTTTTAAGGGTTAAAATGAAGGTTTTCAAAGTTTTTGGGGTTATTTCAAAATGTTTATGTTTTTCTTTAAAAACATAAATATAATTTTAATTTTTTTAATTTTAAATAATTTTTTAAAATCATCAGATTGTGACACATGTCACTTAATAGGGAAATTAATGTCGTTGACAACCTGAGGACCTAAATGGATAACGTTTGTAACGTTAAGCACATGAATAGGTCAACAAGTAATTTAGACACCTATTCGAGAATTAAGTTATGATTTGAAACTTATTTTGGTATTAAGCCTTAAATTTATAAGAGGCAAAATGACTCGTTAAGCTAATAAATTATAAACACCTAATACATTTTTATTTATTTGTCGGGTAAGAAATTGATATTATTAACCCTTCAATAACTGAAGCCTCCCGATAATTGCTTCTCTTCTTGATTAAAAAAATATCGCTTCTGATTCTTTAAAAGGTAAATTACGCGTTTAATACTTAAATTATCATTTTTTTTATCTCTTTTAGTACTTAACTTTTAATCAAAATCATACTTAATGTTTAATATTTGTATCATTTTACAACTCGTTAAAAACTCAACTTTATATTTTGAAAAAATCGAAAGTTTAGATACTAAAAATGAACAAAAATGATAGTTTAAGCACTAAAAGCGTTAAGTTTTTAACGGTAGGTACTAACATGAAACAAAAATTAAATTTTAGATAGATTTTGAAAAAAATTAAAAGTTTAAATACTAAAACAAACCAAAACTTATAGTTTAGATTCTACATGTGTAATTTACCCTTCTTTAAATGATAAGTATGCGAATAGGATTATATTAAATTAAAAGGTAAAATACACTTTTCCTCAGTAAACCTTACCTATTATACTTTCAATTTTTCTAATTTACTCACTCTAAATTATTATTATTATTGTTGTTGTTGTTGTTGTATGATGTGGTATTTTTATTATTTATTTAAATTATGTTTATATATATTTAATAATAATAAAAATGTCATGTCTTATAAAAATAATAATAAAATAATCTAGAGTGATCAAAACATGAGCAATTCGAAAGTTTACTGAGTAAATTAGAAAAAGTACAAGTACAGTGAGTAAAATAGGAGAGAAATCATATAATTTACCCTATATTAAAAGCTTGAAATATTTTGAGTAATACCTAAAGGAAGATCCCAAAATTACCCAGAGATCCATTGACTTAAGTGCAGGTCTGTTGCGTGGGGAGACCTACATTTCTTCCTTCATATGTAATTTAATTTTTCCTATCACGCCACCTCAATATTTTTATACATCAGGCAACACAATCACCATCATCATATTTGATTTCAGGCAAAGTTGCAACAAGTTTTTCCATCCATTCCATTCAAACAATAATCAAATACCCCATTTTTTACAGAAAACTAAAGAAGAATGGTAAATGAAACACCACCAACAAGAGGGTTCAATATGAAGAATCCATGGATGCTAGCATCGAGGTTTTTGCCTCAGTTTTACAAACAGGGCAAGCATTCTTCTGCAGCAGCCATTGCTTTATGCATGGGATGTGAAAACTGTGTCCACAGCAAAGCTTCCCCATCTCTTCATCTGCTTCGTATTCCTCCTGTACGCGTATCCAAGAATAGGTTACCGTACGAACCGTGATCGAAATCGGAAAAGGGTTCACCTGAAGAAGGAAAAAGAAAACTCACCTGACAAATGCTGCACTTGTTATCCACGTGCACGGGCACGTTTGTTGCTATATCTTTCTTCATTGAGCCCTTGGTTTTCCTTATGCATCTGCTAATCTCATCTTCTTTCAATCCGGTGTTCACATAACCAATTTTATCTCCAAGCTCCAGTAATTGCTATTTTACATCAGTACAAGCAAGAATAACAAAGAAACGAACGTCTTATGTAGCACCGTTGCTAAATCGAGTTAGGATATGGGATATGATCCTCCGAAGAACATAACATACCTCGTAGGACATGTCGTCGATATCAAGCCTCCAGTTGCTAAATCGATCTCGTGAATGTACTCTTCCCCCCATAAGCATATTGTTATGTAGCACCGTTGTCTGCGCCAATTGCCACACCAAAAGTTCGATCTGCGAATTCAACAAACACCATTTCTATTTGTACAGACCACAACCTCTGAATTCTCTTGATGCATACAATTTCAGCAAAGTATCTTACATTTTAGTAGGAGAAAAGTAATAATCAACTCATAATTGAAAATGATATCCCAGATTTCACAATTAATTTCATCTCTAAAGAAAAATTTGATTTTGGGTTTATATGCAATGAATCCTTTCTAAAGGCTCTGCATTTAAAAATTCCAAATGATGAAACCAGGAAATTAAAAAGAATCCGAGAAAATTAGGGACATACCAGAGAAAGATGAACATGAACATGAAACATGAAACTGCAAGAGATAAAAACAAATGGTTATGTCATGAGATGAACAAAAATTTTGACTAAAAAAGCTTTGTAATTTTATATAGAAAGAGAAGGGAGAAGAGTTGTTATATGAATCGAACACTGAAGCAAAGTGCCTATATAAATCAATGGATTAATTAATAAATTTGATGGTAGTGTAGGGTCCATGTTGATGGCCCCTTTATTCCAAGATATTATCCAAGCTAAATTAAACGTATACGGCTTTTTCTTCCTTCTTATTGTAACATCTGTGGATGGACTTTTAACACATTAAACACCGAGTAGAATCTAGCATAAATTACACATTTAGTACATACACTATCAATTTTGATTTATTTTAGTATCTAAATTTTTAATTTTTTCAAAATCTACCTAAAGTTTAATTTTTATTTCATTTTAGTACACGTCATAAAAAGATTTAATTTTTGTTTCATTTTAGTACTCCGTTCAAAATTTAATGTTAAGTTTTTTTAAAAAAAATTAAAAGTTTAGATAAAAAAAATAATCAAAACTAATAGTTTAGGTACTAAACACGTTAAATTTTTAACGATGGGTACTAAAATGAAATGAAAACTAAATATTAGGTATGCTTTTTAAAAAAATTAAAAGTTTAGGTACTAAAGTGGACCAAAACTGATAGTTTAAGTATTAAATGTGTAGTTTATCCTAAAATCTATCATCTCAAATATGTCAAAATATGGAATTTGTAAGGGTAGATGCCGTTTCAAACAAAAGTCGAAACAAGCATTGAAAATTGAGGATCGCATGAACTATAGGTTTAATGGGAAATTCTCACGGAAATGTATTATTGGTTTTGTTATTATTTTTTTAATATTTTCGTTAAAAAAATTACCTAAAACATTATTATTTCTACCGATTTTGTTATTATTGGCCATTTTACCGGTTTTGTTATTATTGGACGTTTTACCGGTTTTGTTAACATATACGATAAAGTGCTACCAAAAACATTGTTTTTCTAACGATTTGGTTATTATTAGGCACTTTACCGGAAATTTTAAAAAATATTAATGTTTTAGGTAGAAATAATAATGTTTTAGGTATTTTTTATCAAAAATATTAAAAAATAATAACAAAACCGATAGCATCTTTCTTGAATCGTATATTAAGACTGCAGCACGGTAGACCTTCTAGTTTAATGGCTATCAATATCATTTCATTGATTTTTGGTGCTATTATTCTGACTCAAGTGATGTCTTAAGGGGACAATGTATAATTTTATGTGGTTTGTTTTCTATCATGGTACTTGCACCTGCTTTAATCTAATTTTTTGAATATAATATATTTAATTTTAATATGATATAAATTACATAATATATTAAAAATTATTTGGTCCAATGTGATGAGACACAGACCTGTTTGATCTTAAAAAATATTTTTTAGTTTTGTTTTCTATTTTTTTATTTTCAAAAAATAGCTTTTCTATTTAATTTTTTGAAAATTATAAAACATATTTGGTTAATATAAATGAAAATTTGATTTCATAAATAAAAATAGTTAAAATATATTTGATATTTATCTTTTTTTTAGAATAGAGATGAATAAATAATTATTAAATAAATAAATTTAATATGTGAGTTATATAAATATAAAATAGATAAGAAATTTTATGACAAAAAATTACTTTTAGTTTTTTTGGTTTTACCACCGGTATCCGATTTATTAATCGACTAATCTGGATCAGGTACTGTAGAGACAATGGTGACCCTCCCAATCTAGTTTGCTCCATTCGCAATTGCCATAATTTAAACATCTGACCTTGCTTAAGGGATCTACTACCTCAACCACTATACCAATTGGTTGTAGGTGAAAATTATTTTAGTTTATAATAAGAATATAATGTTAATGCATATTGGACATCAATTAAATTTAAAAAAAAATACACACAAAAAATTGTTGTAAACAAGAAAACAAAAAGTGTCATTAAAATAAAAAAAAATATGTTAGCGGTATTTATGACCCTCAAATTTTGGGAGAAAATTAGTGTAACCCTTGAATTTTTGTTACACTCAATGTGACCCTTAAATTGAGAGAAAAAATCTAACCATTTGACTAATGAATCAAATGTTGATACTTACATGACAGTTTATAAAAGCTTAGATGATAATATACAATATTGATGTGATAGTTCATAATGTTATTGTGGTAGTAGATGATGTATAATAATATGGTTGACGGACTTAATTGATTTTTATTTTACTAAGTTCGAGGGCCTAATTGATTTTTTAGAAAATTTAAGAACTTAATTAATTTTTTCTAAGTTTGAGGACCTAATTGATTCTTTTAGAAAGTTTAAGTACTTAATTAATTTTTTTATAAAATTTAAAATATTCTTTAAATTTAAAAATATAAACAATTATTACGATATTTAGTACATTAAATATAAAAATAATAAAAATTAAATTATTAAAAAATTAGTTTAATGATCAAATTGAGTGTTAAAAAGTTTAGGGATCATATTAATTTTTTTGGCAAAAGTTTGAGGGTTTTAGATACCATTAAGTCAAAAAAATATTGCTAAATGGATTTGAATCCGTACAAGTTAAAAATCTAGATATTATGTCCTCCTGTTTTTCAAATTTCCTAAATAATTTTAATGAAAAATACTAAAAAATCTTTTTATGTTTTTATTTTTTTATTTTCATTTTCTAGAAATCATTTTCCAATTTTACAACCAAACATGTTTTCTTCAACGTTTTCTATTTTCCAAAAAAATAATAATAGCATATATTTTCTAAATCCAAACAGGTTCTCTCAAATAAGGGTCCTTCAAATTTTAACGCATGCGAGTGAAACAAATTAGCTAGGCGAATCATCCCATATTAAATATCTATAATAATGGATTCAGATTCATCGATTAATAAATACAATATTAATGATAATACCAAAAAATTATTAATTACGTAACATATAAAATAAAAAGTTTAGATAAACAATACTTAAATATTTTTGTCCAAATATTTTTGAAGGTGGAAAGTGGTGTTTTTAATATTAGGATGAAAGAGGGAGGACTAAAAGTGCAATTATCCCCTTGCTTGAAACAAAATCTGAAAACCATTAAAATTTGGATGATTTCAAGTGTACCCTCTTCCTCACTAAACGCTCTTCCTTGTCTTCTTCTTTTCTCTCTCATTCTTCATTTACAAGGGTAAGCTAAAGGTAAAAGCTTTAGGATTTGCAAGCTTAGTTAAGATTTATTAAGGTAAGAATATTCATCTATACCTTTCAAGCTTTCATTCAAGCCCCATATTACAAGTTTTGACCATAGAAAACAAAAATGGGTTTTAGAGAGGTTTAAGAAACCAAATGATTTCCAACTCGTTTTTAGTTGATTTGAGTTCTAGAAAGTGTTTATAACCTCAATCCAAGCTCTTAGATGAGTTAGCAACTCATTTTCTTGCATTTGATCAGTGAAAGAAGTGGGAGAGAGAGCTCCAAGGCTAGAGTGAAAGAAAATTTGACTCTTGGTTGATTTGAAGACGTTTCCAATAGCTAGGTGGTAAAGGTAACACATTCACAACTCTCTCATACCATTTGTGAGTCATTAGAATGAATTCTAGCATAAAAGTTGAGTTATGAAGCATAGTTGATCATTTCATGATAGATTCAATGTTTTGGTGTTTTAGCATGTTCTAAAGCCCTTTTTATGACCTTTCTATATCAAATAAGACTTTAATAAGGTTTGGGGACATCTGTAGGGCATCTTGGGGACTATAAAACGTATTTAAGTACCCAAGAACTCCATAATTTCTTTTAAATAAAACTACAAGTGAGAACAAGATTAATAATCAAATACAGTAGAAATGAGATCAATTAGGGAGACATAAAACTAGTATTGATTGATGCTCGAGAAACGATCAAGACACCTAAGTTACTTTAGTAAATGATATTTTTTTTGAGAAATAGCATTGACCGATATCCTTAGGTAGTGCGCGAGGAATGTTAAAATGACTAACAAGGGTGCGAGGCCCGACACTCGCGAGGGGTGAGTTAGTCAAGGGTGTTATGTCCAATATAGAGATTTTGAACCTTATCCTAGGTAGACTAGAGGAGTGTGTGAGCTCTAAGATGCATAATCCTCACCTGCACCATGATAACTACCTTAGAGTAGAGAGTGAATTATATTAGTATACTCACCATTTTTATTACACTTGATAGCATGATCATTTAATGAATACTTTTTAGTATGATTTAGTTTTTAGCGTGGCACTGAGCTAGTGAGCTCAACATTATGAATTTATTTCTGTGCGCAAGTATTTAGGAGGAGAAATCGAGGAGCCTTTTGAGCAACAACTTTCCAGACCGAGTGTGAAGTAGAGTAAGTCTCAAGTTATGTTATTTAGAACTTTTGTATATTTGTATCATAACTTTATTTTGTATAATTGAGTGTATTGTTTTGATATACTATTTTTGGAGCTCCAGATGTAAACTTTATATTTATATATTGTCATGAATTACCTTATTTAAAAATGGTTTTAATTCGTCATTTTATTAGGTAATTAAAGAAAAGTTTTGGGTTAGCCACTTTGATAGTCCTGTGGCATTCTAATTGGTCAACTTTGTGTCGTATCTGATTAGGGTGTTATGTTTAGTGGTATCAGAGCGTTAGGTTTATACATTCCTAGAACCCACGAGTCAGAGTCAGTAAGAGTCTATAAGTATACATGCCTCAAGAGAGTTAAGAGTACTCTTGCGTATGGAATATCGATAGTAACTCCCCGTTCTTGTCTTAATTCTAGAGTTGAGCCATGGATAAAAGCCCAGAGCATAATCATGAGGGTAGGAATGAAAGTAGATATTCTTTAGCAAGTGATACTGATGAAGAGTTCGCATCAGATTCTGAGTTTGAGGAGCCAGGGGGCTTGGGGTCGATAAGGAGACCTTATTCCGAGATCTGATATCTACCATCTGACACATAATTAGAGTAATTCCCAAGACACCTACTACTCCACCTACCCATCCAGCTCTGTCATCCCTCTCTCTATAGCAAAGATTCCCCAGTAGAGAGGCTCTAGAGGTACCATACCATAGACTTCTTTGGCTCCTGAGACAATGATCCAATAGTTGCTGACCAATAGTTGAGAGAG